AGAAAAACCCGTCTTGACCTCCGTTTCAAGCCTCAGTTCTGGGCAGATAAAAAAAAATGTAGCAGCAGCCAAGGGCTGCCACCAGCCATGTCTTTGGGCGCCAGCATGCACGCTGGTGGGCTCGCGTATGGGCGCCGTGTGCGCATGGCCCCTCATCGGGCCGCCGCGACGTCAATTCTTCTTTTGAGCTTTTCTCCTTCGTCCGGACTCCGATTCAAGTGAATTTTTTTTTGAACTTGACTAATTTTTCGCTGTCTTTCCAACGGTGTGCTCGGTTGCACCCAGTTCCTCCTGAATAATTACCAGTTTACCCTTTTTGCTTTAAGTGCTCGTTTTTCTTTGTCATGCCGTTTATCCTTCGTTCGGACTCCGAATCATGCGATTCTTGAGTCCATCTTGATTAGTTTTTTGTTGTCCTTCCAGCGGTGTGCTCGGTGGCACCCGAATCTATAGTTTTCAGAAATGATTATTTTGCCCCTAGGGGCTTATTTGTCATATTTTCGATCTTTTGCTTCCGCATCAGTTCTTGTTGAGTTCCACGACCTCATAGAAGGTCACTTTGACTTCTTAGAGTCTTGTTTTCTGTTTTCACTTCCGCATTCGGATCCGTTATCGGATCATCCTTACGGTTCATCACAGGACACGCTGGCCTAAAAACTAGGGTCGTCACATATCACTGCCTATCTGGGAATTTAAAGCAACTAAACAACAACTATGCTAATGACATGAAAATTAAACTAATTAAGCTAAGGATGTAGCACAATCCATCAAGAAATAAGCATAATCCATCAAACAAACCACAATAGTAATCAATTAAGCATCATACCTTGACCATTACTAGATTTATAATTTCAACACATAAACATGCATCAAACTCATAAAACCTAGTGCAAGCACATGACCATTCATTCTAGCATACATAGACATATGGATAGAAATAAAAGATTAATTGGAAGAATTAATCTATACAAATCATGTAGAAACTCAAGATCTATATAAATTAATGGTCAAAACATCATTTATAACATAAATCCCCAAAAATTACAAAATACTAAGTTTAGGAAGCAAGCCTAGGGGCTATTTCTAGCCCTAAGAGAAGGATCTAGCCACTGGTGGTAGTGGTCATAGAACCCTCAAAGGTTTTCTTCAATGCAGGCACCATCTTTTTCCTCTATGCTTTGCTCCCAAAAACCTAGAGAGAGAATTTTTTAAGAGCTATTTCTAAAATTAGAAATAATTTGTCAACCCTATACAAATTGGTTCATTTGATTTGAATACAAGCCTCTTTAAGTAGGCAACAAGTCAGAAATAAGGCCTTTGATTGGTGCAAACTCGCAACTACAAAAGTTGGTGGAATTCAGGTGCGCTCGAGAATTAAAACAACTCACTGCTAACGGGGGGTTCGATCAATCGAACAGGGCTTCGATTGATCGAACACTTACTTCGATCGATTGAAGCTGACGTGGCAAAGATATTTTGACAGCTGGCGACTTTATTTATTGAGCTGGCACCGCCTTAATTTTGATCGATTGTAGCTTTTTTCGATCGATCGGGACTTCCTTCAATCGATCGAAACTTGAACAGTGCAGTTTTTCTGACTATTATGGATTTTCTTCTTAACTCCAAAACTGAGCTAATAGGCTCTTTTTAGCCTATTTGAACCTTATTAACCTGAAAAAGACAAAAACATAAATTAAAACTAAAACGGAAAAGTAAGATAGATGAATGGACTAAAATACCTTAGCTTAGGTGCTAAAATGCATCACATTTGAGCACTTATCACATTTGGCTCCTTGCAATTTCATGTCTTCTTTGTATCCATTTCTTTCCTTGATGTGATTTTGAATAATGGAATACTTGGAATGATCTTTATAGCTTCATTGAGGTTATTCTTTGAATGTGAATCATCTATAACACACAATGTAAACATTAGTCCTTAAACACTATTAATGGTTTGTTATCATCAAAACATCTAGATTGTCCTTGACTGAAATTCTTAAGGTCAACAAGGATGAATCCTTCACGGATTTCTCAAAAAATTAGACATTAGGGAGCATGTCCCTTGCATTATTGACACGGATTTAACTTGTGGAATCACGAAAATGTAGCACGTGTATGTACCTAGCATTGACCTACTGAGCTATATGATCTCACCCCTTCATTGATTCCCCTTTCAGGTTGAAGCACGCTCTTGAGGACGTTGCCTTGTTTTCATTTTTTTGGTGTTAGACATTGATGTATATTGGGAATATGTATATACTCTTTTCTATTCCATTTTTTACTTGTTATGGATTTTGTATTTGACTTGAGAAGCATACTTGAGATGATGTAAATTCGATTACAATGTATAATTGTATTTGGTTCACAAAAAAGTGTAAACTTTAGGCCTTAAGGCCTTTTTTGTTAAATGTATGGATTTATCTTCAAGTACAAACTTATGTATGCTTCACACACTTCTTGGATTCACGAATGTCCTTGCCATGTTTAGACATTTAGGTTGGACATATTTTTCATGCTTGAGCATTTGGGCATGTTTGGAATTAGTTTGGATCTAGTCGTAGTTTGGACGGTATGCTTTGACAGGTTTTGGCTATACTTAACATATTTTTTGACCATTCGGACACCATTGGGGCTTAGGTACTTGATATAGGTCGTTTGTGTGGCCATAACACCTTGGGAGGACCTGTTTTTCAGCTCCAGGCCATTTTTGGCTTGGGCAGAGCATTCTTTGGCCGGGAGCATGTTTCAGCCGGCTAACAAAGGCAGTCAGTCAACTGATGGTGCAGTTCCAGCTGGCTGACCCTCACCATTAGCCGACTGACCCTTCCTGAAGGCTACCCTTTTCAATTTTTAGGACAGCTTTGTTGCACTAACTTCGAACAGCCATATCTTTTTCATTTCTAATCCAAATTAGGTCATTCTTAAGTCCATTTTTAAGGTCTTGAAGTCAGCTTTCCAATTGTACCGATTCCATTTTTAGATTCCATTCTGAATAAGAGATATTATCATTTTAGTGGGACAGTGTCGGGAAATCATTTTAGTAGGACAATGTCGGGAAATCATTTTTGGGAAACTATAACTAAAGATCATAGAACCTCTTGGGATTTTATGAATTGATTTGGTTGGATTGAGTACACTTCCCTTGTCTTGTTTGGAGACAAATTTCTTCACCATGGGGTAAAATGACAATTTTACCCTTGGTTTTTTTTTTTTGTTTTTTGTTCGTTTTGACCTTAACTTCCGCATTCATCTTCTATTTGAGTCCAGTAACTTATTAGGAAGTCACTTTGTTGTCTTAGAGGAAGTTTCTATCTTTATAGACCTTTTCTCTTTTCATATCTCCGCGTTTTGGACTCGATATTGGATTAGGTTTTGGGTTACTACATACTGGGTTATGCAAATTTGGGCCGTTACATACACTCTCCCTTTGGCATTTTTGGAAGAGTAAAAGGAAAAAATTGGCATTAAATCATTACTTTATGTCAAATTTTTATTTAACGGGTGTTTTCGCACAATGTTAAAATAATAAGGTAGTTATTAACAAACTTTTTCAAATAAAGGATGAAAATGCTATACAAATATACATTATGGGTATTTTCTGCGCTTGACCCTTTCTTAAATATCTCAAGTATAAGAAACTATATACACACTCATTTACACATGCGGGGACAACTAAACCTTAAAGACAATTAACAATTTAGGTCGTAGCCTAAAGTTGCCAATGAGAGAAGAGGCCATGCATAAAATTCATCCCACTATATTAATTATATTTTATTATATTTATATATTTAGTGTATAGATTATGTTTTATTTATTGTATTAATTACGAAATAAATACAATTGTTGTTCTATTTGTTAGTACAAGTCCGTTGCCTATCCCAATGGGAGAAGAGGCCCATGCATAAAAGTCCTCACATATTAATTATATAAATATACATTATACTTCGTATATATTAATGCATTGATTATGATTTGTTTATTATATTAATTACTAAATAAATACAACCGTGCGCTATTCTATTCTTCAATTGAAGTCCCCAATGGGAGAAGAAGCCCATGCATAAAAGTCATCTCATTATATTATTTATATATTTCATTTTAAAGTATTAATTAATCTTTATTTACCGTATTAAATATCAAATAAAAACAACTGGTCGGTAATACAAGTTAGAAGCTTAAGGCCCCCAATGGAAAAAGAGGTCTATTAATTATATATATATATATATATATATATATATATATATATATACAATTTCAGTAATTTATTAATTATATATATTTTTAATGTATTTATTATGTTTTGTTTATTTTATTAACTACCTAATAAATATAACTTTAATTCTATTGATCAATACAAGTTTTCAAAAAAATTATTTTTATATTTACTTCAAGTTTTTTTCTTTCAACAGTCTCTCACCTTCTGGACTTTTTTCTAATTTGAAAATTCTATTGTATATTAATACTTGTTCAAACATTATATATTTCTTTTGAACTTTGTAATTTATTGGCTTTCTTACACAAGTGCACAACCAAATCACAATCTCTTATTTAATATTGTTTTTAAATTTTTTTAATCTCTTATTTAATATTGTTTTTAATTTTTTTTGAGCTTATTGTAATTTTAGCAAATAATAAGAATAATTTTTAAAATGAAAATCATTAGTGTTGTATTAATAATATAGTTAATGTAAGAAGACCAAAGGTGAACTAGAAAAAATGCACAACTATCCTCTACCCAAGAGACGAAAGTGTTAAGCTAGCGTTGTTGGAGACTCGACTATTTTAGGGGTATCAAAAGCAAGCAACGGTTGTTTGCATTAACTTCCAACACGGTTTATGGATGAGAAGATGGTAATATTTAAAACATTCAAAACAATCAACTCCACTAATTATATGGGGTCCTTAATTAGCTTTATTGAGTCTCTATATAAACCCTCATTTGAGTCCTCACTTCTCATCAAATTAGAAGTCATCTTAATTTACTATCATTACTTGCAAAGATGACTTCTAAACTTGTTCTTCTTCTTCTGGTGCTTCTTGGTGCTCTTGTTTGGAACACCACCTATGCTAGAAAGCTTCTAAGCTTAAAGGGTGGTTATCTTGAAGATGAAAAAATAGGAATTGGTTTTGGAGGTGGCGGTGGCGGTGGCGGTGGTGGAGACATTGGCGGAGGTGCAGGTGGTGGGGCCGGTTTCGGAGGGGGAGCTGGTGCTGGGACTGGAAATGGTGCGGGAGCCGGAGGTGGTGGTGGTGGTGGTGGAGGGTTTGGTGGGGGAGTTGGTGGTGGAGCTGGAGCTGGATTTGGTGGAGGAGCTGGTGGTGGGATTGGAGATGGACTTCCTGGAACCGGAGGTGGACTTCCTGGTACTGGAGGTGGACTGCCAGCTGGAATCGGAGGTGGGCTTCCTGGAATCGGAGGACTACCAGCTGGAATCGGTGGTGGACTGCCTGGAATCGGAGCTGGGCTTCCTGGAACCGGTGGTGGGCTGCCTGGAATATTTGGAGGTGGGCTTCCTGGAATTGGTGGTGGGCTGCCTGGAATCGGAGGTTGAATATCTAAGGCTGGAGGAAGGCCTTGACTGAAGAGAGAAGCTGCATGTGTCTGGCTAGCTTGCTGGTTTTGTTTAAAATGTATTTGCTATTGTTTCTATGTGTGTCTCTTTGCAGTCTAAATATTATAATGAAGAAATAAACATTTGTTATATTAGCTTTGTCAAAGAGACACAAGTTATATATATAATTAAGTTGTCAAAATTTGAAACAAGTTCAATGCATTTTCTGTTATATATCCATGTCTTTTTTGTTTATTAGTATTTAAAGGATTTTCACTTTCATAACCTTCTAGTGATTAGAACTATGTCCAAAGATCCAAAACTCTTAAAAATGACCAAGTCCTAACACTAATATTAAGACCATATTTTGGCATGTTTTCTAAGGTTTTAGGAGGACTCTTAACCCAGTTTTTTTTGTTATCATTTTCAACACCTTAGCCTAGTTTTTTTTGTTTCCTTTTTTTTCTTTTTACAAATTAGGAGGAGGGAGACTCAAACACACCCGCTCGAAAAGTTAGACACTTTGCTAACTAGGCCACTAGAGAATACCCAACACCTTAACCTAATTGACTACAATCCATGCTTATGGTCTCGCTTAGGTTCTTAGAGCATGCCTTGGATTTCGGTTTTGAAGTGAACTGGTTCTTTCGTCATTGGCATAAATTGTTACATAGTCATTAGGTTTGGAGTCATTTTTAATAGCTTTTGATCACTTATATATTTTAAAATTTATAATTATAGCATTGTATTTGAGGCTTTAGTTAGTATTTCTAAACGACATTATATTATTATTATTATTTTTGTAATTCTTAAACACTTCATTTCATTTTTGAAAAATTGCTTTTTGATTCCAATTTGTGTAAGAGCAATGCTATTACCAGTTGCCTCTTTCCATTGGTGCGTGATTTGTAATTAATGAATTTATTAATGGTATGTGTTCTAGTTTTATGAAACACTAAAGATATATATTTTTTTATTCTCATTGACCATCAAAATTGTAACTAATGAATGCTAATGAATGCATTAATTGCATGCTTTTTATTTTTAATAGGATGTTAAATTATTATTTTTAACAAAAAAAAACTACCATTACTTCTTTCCTGTGCCTTTTCTTATTGAGAGATAAGAGTTAAGTCTCTTTAGAGATAAATATGATTTAGTTTGGAAATGATGTAATTAGATGATAAAAATAGATATATATATATATATATATATATATATATATATCTAATTAAAAAACAATTGGAAAAAAAAAGGGACGTAACTGTTTATATATATTTATATACATAGGCAATTATATGGATCAAATAAGGGAGAGAAAGAAATAAAAAGGAAAATAGTTTTTTCTTTTTCTTTCTGTAAATAAAGAGGAAAATAATTCTAAATAAAGAGGAAATTAATTGTTTATATATTTATAGGGAGGCGATATCCGCATCCCACTTTTCAACATTTGCACTACAATCTTAAATAAAATGACAATTATAACCCTCACTTTACTAGTAAATAATAATAATTTTTTAAATGATACAACTGTCCTTTTAGATTTACTCTTCTTGTATCTAATCTTTTGACAAGACCAAAAATAAAAAAATAGATTTGAATAAAAAAATTTTACGAGACCAAAAAAAAAAAAATTATGTTGAATAAATTGCCTCTTTTGACCGGAAGAAAAAATTAAAAAAGTAACCATTAAAAAAATTATCTCTTTTATTTACCAAAATATATATATATATATTTTTAATCTCTTTTGACTTGAAAAAAAAACCCCAAAAAATATGTTTATTGAAGATTTTTTTTTTTTTTGTCAAGGTCCCAAAAAAAAAGTACGAAAAGAAGAGGATTAAAAAGAAGTTATCTCTATTGAATAAATTATCTCTTTTTATAAGGCAAAAAAAAAAAAAAAGAAGAAGTTATTTTTTTCAAATATTAAATTATTTCTTTTGATACTACCTATAAAAAATTACCAAAAAAAATGTTTCCTCTTTTGATAGGACTGAAAAAAAAAAAGAAAAAAAAAGTTAACTTTGTTGAATAAATATCCCTTTCCATTGTACAAATATATATATATATATATTTCTTTTGACACTACCTATAAAAAATTAACAAAAAAAAAAATTGTTTCCTCTTTTGATAGGACTGAAAAAAAAAAAAAAAGAAAGTCATTTTGGAATAAATTATCTCTTTTGACTGCCAAAAATAAAATTATTAGAATGAAATAAATTATTTTCTTTGAGAGTGGCCTACAGAAAAAACTAATAGAAAGGAAAAAATTAATGGTAAATAAAATAAATAATAAAGTTAAAGTTGTATAAAGGGTAGTTATGACATTATAAATTAAGTATGGTACATTAATTAATTCAAGGACTTTCTTGTCATTTCCTTTAAAGAAAAAAGGTAAATGTAGTGCAATTGGAGAAAAGTGGAGTGCGAATATCGCCTCCCTGTTTATATACACACTATAATAGAGATATCAAAACACAAATAATAATACGTGTTCTTCGATGTTTGTTGACTAGCTTTGTGAACTAGTGTTAGCCCCTTAACATTTGTCCAAAGGAAGACATAGGCATTCAGGGCCATGCCATGTCTTGGGATCACTTTGGCTCCTGTTTGAAACATGGGGTTTCGCCAAATAGAGGTTAATGACACACTTGACAGCCGTGAAGGTGCTCAGCGTACACCGAGTAGGCTGTCAGCGTGCACAGAGGCTGTCAAAATGCATATAGGATGCTCAACGTGCACAGAAGGATGCTCAGTAGCATTTTCGTAATTATGATGAAAAATAAAGTTTGGAGTTTGGACTCGGGAATTTAATTGGAGGTGCTTTGAGACCTTAGAAGACTTTTGGTGAAAACGGAATTCAGTTTGTAAGTCTAGAGGGTTCAATATAGACCATTATAACTCCTCGGACATAATAAAGTATGTTCCTGCTAGAGTTCTAATATCTACTTCAGCTAAGCTAGGGAGTGTGGGGGTTGGAGATCAATTGTTATACTCATCAGCTAGGTTATGGCATGCCTTGCAAAGAGGGCTTGGCTAATGTGCATGGGCACAGGTTACAGCACCTCAGGGTGGTGGCACGAGATGGGAGCATCTAAATACTTAAAGGCAGACCAGCGTACGCGCGGGCATGCACCAACGTGCCCACAGGCATGCACTAGCCTTGTGCATGGCTTGGCACACCGTGGACCTAGGGGCACTTATGTGTGGGTTCAAATTTGTGGGCTTAGCTCAGTGTGGCTCATGGACCATGGCTAAGGCCATAGCACCTACATATCACTTAGTGGGTAGTAGGTGTGCCTATCAAGCAAGTATCCAATCAGAAGGAGGCATGTAGGAGTAGTTAAGATATAATCAGTGACTTATGATCAGATGTTCTAGAGAAGCCTTGTGACTTATATTCGGTTGTGAAAGCATATACAGATATGCTATATGGCTTATGATCAGTTATTACTATGGCAGGTTGTCATTGGCTAGTTTCCTATAAGTTGGGGGATGTCCAACTGAATATATGTATCTATATGTCTTACATAGATAGGTGGTTGAGGGAGAAACTTCTATGGTGTGCTAGACAAGTTTGATTGGGTTATTTTTCTAGAAGGTTCGGTTTGTCAACCTTACTTGTTGTGTTTAGATATAGACACATACAGGTCAATTGTAGACAGTTTTCTCTGAATGCCTGTATATTGGGATACAGGGGGACTTGGATTAGGCAGATTGTACATTGCAGTGTATGCAAATAGAGCCTTGGTCTCTTATACAAAATTGTTTCCTTTGTATTATGTTTAATAAGATCAAAGATTGGGACTTGGTCTTGTAAACTGTTTGATACCCCTCGATTCTAGAGCCATGGGTGATCAAGTCCAAGCATAGATCCGTGGGATACCAAACAATTAAGTATATAAACAAGCATAGAATACAAGAAGAAATAAAGAATAAATAATAATTAAGCTGGAAGAAAACTAAATAATAAATCTATAACTTAATAAATAAATCATCTTCTAAATAGAATAATTCAAAACCTCCGATATCATTACAACTCAGGAATCCATCTAGTGGACCCTTAATAATATCCCAACTAGAAAAATAATTGAACTGTAATCAAATCCAAAATTAAAACATAAAGAAGAGTCATACGTAGTCGGAAGAGTGAATAACTGTCTTTGCTCCGCACAAACAATCTCTAAGACTGAAACTGTCGAACACCTGAAAAATAATAGTGGGTCAGGCCCACAAATAAGTTCTACCCTACTACAATCCAAATAGAGACCCGATACATTTATATATCCTAGTTAATCCAACAATAGCTATATAGTCCGTATATATATACACACACTAAGGGACTCTCACTGGACTACAAGGCAGTCTCAACCTGACTAGTAGGCAACATGCAATACGCACTGAAAGTGGGCATGAGTACCTAGACCTAGCAGGGTACACCACTAACCATCATAGCCAGCTATGCATCCCACTGCATATACGCTCCCTAACCATTGATCCTGAGACTCAAGCTCATATCATGGCATCATAATCATATATATATAAATCTATCCAAAAATTAAGGTATGTCATTCAACTGTTTGTTGACCTGACACGAATATAAGTAGGAATTAACATTGTAGTTAATCCATTCCCTTATATATGAATAGGTAGGACTTAAATTCTTTGGTTAGTCCGTCCCTAGAATGCCACCGTCCCATACCGGTGCATTACATTCATACAGTCCAATAATTGATGAAATAATTAAACTAACACACCAATTAATTCCAGAAATAAGCATAATAAAAATTAGATAATAGTATGATCATATTATACTGTCAATCCATGATTAAAATCATATATCATCCATTTAGATTGCTAGAATAATACTAGGCAATTTAACCATCCATTAACAATATGTAAATTTAATTAAAATTTCACATTATTCATCATTCCATAACATATAATTATTAATTATGCATTTTAGGTATTTAACATGCTTATTGTAGTCATTTAAATCA